AGCAAATCATTTTATAAAACATTATTTGGCTAAATGATGTTTTATTCACTTCATGGATTTGCATTGTGAATTGGTCTGAAAACATTCCAACTTCTCTAAATTAGTGAAAAGCTAATTTAATCATATCCCAAATTTTTCCAGATAAACTTTCGTATTTTTGGTTTTCAAACACAAAATCAATCTTTAACTGTAATATGGTTTCAACCATGTTTCCCCTTCCTCTTTGTACATAGTAGTTTAGTTTAGTTGAGTTTTACTAGTTTTGGTTAAGAGTTTTAAACAGAATTATGTTTGACTTGGAGCTGAATGATTTTTCTTAATAAATTATTTTTTTTTAACAGAAATTGTGGTGAATGTATTCCATGTATGTGCAGAATTAACTGTTTGACCATGATTAGAGCTCAAATCACTCTTTCAATTACTCTAACACACAGCTAGCAGGGTATGTGTTCATAAACAATATATAAAAGACCAAAATTAAATAAATAAGATATTTACCAACCCCTACCAGGGAGGGCAATAAACATCTTAAAGTATCAGAAAATATGAATTCCCAGCTGGCTGGGAATTGAATACAGTTATTCACAAAATTAATATGGCATCCAACCTGGATGGGTATGGTTAAAAACCTCCACATGTGACTCAGAGTTTCATCCACATCTGATGTGGAATTTCAAAATTAAAGCCTGCAAATTCTCTATACCTAATTTGCTACACCTAAATTTCTCTTAAATTGTTTTCAATCTTGCTGCTAAACTATTTGTTTTTATTTAATGCCAGCTTCTGAAGGAAAATAGAACACATCCTGGTGTGACATACAAAGTTTCCTCCATATCTGTTTGGAATTTCAAAATTAAAGCTCCTAAAATCTCTAATTTGATTTGAAATGTAATATATTATACATAACTATGTTATTTATCATCTACGAGCTCAGCCTCTTAACCTTAATATTTGCGTTGCCTTAGAATTCGTTTTTTATAATTACATAGGAGCGGGTCTCGCAGCCATGGAGGCAGACATCTTTGCGCTACGGCAACGCAGAGCCAACAAACTAGCGATTGCGAGATCGCCCATTACGCTCGAAAGTAACTACGGCAAGTTGAGAGAGATGAACTAAGACGGTACTGAACACACAGACTAATGAAATACTATCTGTAAAATTATCTATGTAAACAAACCTCATCACTTGAGAAGGTAGGTGATGCGGACGTCGTGGAAGACATTTTGTCCCGTAACGCTCGCCGTACTGTTGGGGGGGAGAAGCGGTGGGGGGGAGATGTTTATGTTGCTGCGGTCTGCAGTCTGGACGTTAGATGTCGCTGAAAATTACACACTGTAGCTTTAAATATGTAAAAAAAAAAAAAAAAAAGGAAAAAGTATAGATATACCTCAATATTCAAACATCAAAATCACTGCTCTTATTTTGGAACAATCTTAGGCATCGATACCGTAATTCTTAGTGTTCGTGCAACCTAAATAAACATGCAAGGGCTGGCTTGACTGTCAATTCCGAAGTGGAGGCTGGCTAGACTGTGGTACTGTATACAAACGTGCAGTATCAGAATTGCAAATGACTGTAATATTTGGTCAGAGAGTATGAATAATGTACCATGTCTGCATATTCAGTATATAAACTGGAAAAGCACTCAGAGAGCGCAGACCTCTGCCAAGCAGTAAACTATGCCGCAAATTGCAACCTAAATCTATAGTTAAAACTTGCACATGATCTGGATCATTTCCAAGTTCTAATTAATTGTTCCTTGGCATGAGCTACACCTCTGCTAAAAAGTGAACTTTAAATCCGTTGTTAAGTTCCTGCAAATAAACCAACAATGTTCCCATTTCTTGTGTTTTTGTCTTCATAAAATACCAGCTGACTTTTTGAGTCCGATCCTGAAGCTGTCAATAGTCAGTGCTGCCACCCTGTGGTTTAGCTGGGAACTGTCAATGTCTTTTACGATTCTGAGCTATTCATTTTATTCCAACACGCTACAATGAGAACATTAAACCAGTTCTAACCATACATGAAATTTAAAGTCTCTATGGTTCAATGAAGTGGCTATGAATGGATTTAAATTAGTAAAAGACACCGAAGAAAATGTAATAATAAAACAAATCTCAAATCTAAGCAACATTTATTTGATCTTTTTTCATTTATTCTAAGTATTTATAATCTATGATTTGCTAAATATCTTGAACCGACTAAACCCCTCATTTATCAGATGAAAAGTGATAAAAGACATTGGGCTGCAAAGTTGCTTATCCAAAGAAACCTGATTTCCATACATGGAAAGTGCTTCCTGCAATTTGAGGTGTTTCCCGTCAGCTCTCGGTCAGTCCGTCTCCTCATCTGCAGGCAGATCACATTTTATTGTTGTTGAACAGTCCCCAGCTGCAGGCTTCAGTGTTTGGAAATGAGCCGCAGAGATGGTATCTCCCTTCGTTGCTATGGTCAGCACATAAAAGGCCTGGAAAGGTGTGTGAACATAAACATTTGATATTTACTCAGTGAGTTCCTTATCTGCTGCTCCACTGACGGGTCCTGCTACAAACACCTTAGCAAATGTGTTCATCTATTGTGTGAGTGCTTGCACGTCACTCAATTCAGGGTGTTATGCAAAGCTCCCAAGCAATTTCCTTACACTTGGATACAGCAAATAAATGCATTTTCTGGAGGTTGTTTCCATCTAGATGTGATGATGTGCACCTGAATGAGCTTTGTGCATGCCTATCTGAATGATGTGCGTGTCATGAAAAATTCACCTTGTTTCTTCTCGAACATAATGCAGTAATGCTCTGCCATGCAAAGCTGCAAAGTTTGTCTCACATGCAAATAGCCAACTTTCTGTACCTTCTTTCATCATTAAGGTTTTCATGTTAATAAAAAAAAAAAATGTTAATTATATTATACCCACAAAGTTTGGAGTAGTGGTCTATAACTGTGAAAAGGAGGTACATTTATAAATTTAAAAAAAATGTGTGTAATCTGATTTTTTTTAATCTAGTTGTTCCATGAAGAGCTTAGAGGTTTGTTTTAAACAAAAGTATTATAAAGAACAGAGATGTTACATTTTTCATCCAAAAGTAGAAGAAACATACAACTGTTAGACTACTAATACAAGATGAGCAACCTAAAATGACAGGCTGGGAATGGAGAGATGCATTGAAAATGTTTTCTGTTCAGCAGACTGAGACTAAAAGATAATGAGATTGAAGATTTGAAGCTGTAATTGCTAAAAAAAACAAAAACAAACAGTGTTCTATATTTCCTCTGTCATTTTATATTCCTAGGGTTGGGTAATACTGGATCTAATTGAGTAAACAAAGTTCCGTTCTGAGGGCTATCCTTTTTTTGAGTAATCTTGATCTTAATCAAGTCTGTTTTCTCACTCTATTATCCACCACCATTGACTTCCCCGATTGAAGAACAGGTATGTTTGAATGAGACAGAGTGACTCATTGAAGGTTTATATACCACATCGAACAATTAGTTTAACATACATGTTTCTACAACTGGATCTAACTTTCAATCTCAAGACCAAAGAGCAATCTGCAGATAAGTCCTCCAGTTGTCACTGATTTATATTTATTTATATAGCGCCAATTAACAACACATGCCATCTTAAGGCACTTTATAGACAATTGAACCAGATCATACAGTCAAACTGACTCAAAGTTTTCTATCTAAGGAAATCAAGCTGATTGCATCAACTCATTGACTCGAAGGCAATCCCTCACACTAAGCATACTTGTAGCGACAGTGGAGAGAAAAACTTCCTTTTAACAGGGAGCAACCTCCAGCAGAACCAGGCTCAGTGTGAGCGGCCTTCTGCTCAGGCTGACAGGGGTTCAAGGAGACAGAGAGGCAGAGATACAGAAATTAGCAAAGAAAGGGCAGAAATGGAAAAATATTTAAATTAATAATAATTTGTAATGAGTTATATAGTACATATTTATGCATAAGGTCTATCTTGGAATAAATGAAGACACATTAAATGTATTTACACAAATATGGTGATTAAAATTATTCTATCAACCATGTTACTTTGCACTGTTTACAGATTTTAGCATATGATTCAAGTACCACTAAGAAGATGAGTTGCCTTTTGACCTAATTTTCAACTCTTATCTGTGTATAAATGTATTCAGAGGTGTCGAATGATTTATGTTTATTACTGAAGTAGAAGTATAAATCCTAGTATTTTAAATCACTTTTGTACAAGTTATTGACTTAAGCTTTTTACTCCAGTAAATTATATGGTATTTAAAATACCAGTTTCAAAACTACTTAAAGTAAAAATTAAAAGTAATGCAGGAAAAAAGTAAGGACAGAAGCCTATTAAAGCAATATTTTTCAACAATTCTGGATAAATTCCTTAGTCTTAATTTTCTTAGTATTATGACTAATGGCAACAGTGTCAAATTTAACTTTGCATCATCTTGGAAAATTATTTATTTGGTTTTTGCCGAACAAGTTGGTGCTGCACCAATTCCAAAGAAATTAATTGTCTGGAGGAAATAAATTATTATTATTATTTATTTTAATGCCAACAGGCCAAGGCGAAAATGTGCTTAAATGAAACAAAACTAACAAGTCTATTTTTAAAATGTAAGGAGTAGAAGTGAAAAGTTGTCTAAAAAATAATTAAAGTATTTGTACTTTGTTACTTGGTACCTCTGAATGTATTAAGGTGATGCAACTCTCTAGTAAAATTTTAGCTACTATACCCACCAGCCTATTTCACCCATTAGCATGTTGCATCATCATTTTAGTCCAAAATAGTTTGACTTCTGTCTTTTCTTAGTTTTTACAAACTTTTGACAATAAAAAAATCCTCTGCAGAGGCCACAAACCTCAGCAAGTTCTTGGTATTTTTCCAAAAAAGGTTCAAAAGGAGGAATAGAGACAGCTGAGGAGGAACAGAGACGTCTGTCACGAGGAGACAATGCCTGTCTGTCGCATCTATTCATGCCCAAGTAACTTCCTTGACAACAGAGAATTGGTCAATATAGCTTTTATTTCAGCAAATTATACATACACTGTAAAAAAAATGCATATGTATCATAACCTAATGCTATCAGAGCTGTGATGACAGTGTGGGATTGGTGATAAGAGTGGCTACAGTGTCCAAGGTCATTAAAAACATTTGCATGTCATTACAGTCATGAAACGCTTCCAGACTGAAATGCTTTCCAGTTTTGAAATTCAATTCAAACAGTGAAAGAAAAGAAAAAAAAAAAACAAAAAAAAAAAACAGAAAAACTAACACTTAGATGGCACTTTTCAGGTCTTAGGATTTTCAAAAGACTAAGAATGAAGTCAAATGGTAGAGAAATTACTGGGACTTAGAGCCAACTGACATCTGAGATCAGAGATATTTGTTGTGGATTTTGCTCTGGCAGTTTTACCCTAGAAATTAATACAGCAGATCAGATAAAGGTACTGAAACAATGTGAAAGCAAATGCTGAATATCTTCTTGTATAAAGCTATCAAATCCAAAGCTTCCTGTAGCCGGTTTATAATCTATATAAAACAGTTTGAATATCCAGCAGTGTTTATATGCTCTAACTGCGAAGTATCTCTCTATATTCTAGCTACCCTATGTGACAAATTAAAAGCCAGATGAAAGCTGTGGTTACTATCCAAGATGAGACCATGTCAGATCTAAGTCAGTGAACTTTAATATGCAACAATAAGAGTAAAGCAACTCATATGCAGTCAGTTCTTCCAGCCTATCAGAAGCCTTTAAGAGCAAAAAGGCACACCTCAACATGAAACGGCTGCAGCATATAGAGGATCTCAAAAGGCAGCACATCGCTGGTTAAAATGCCAGGTTTTTACACTTTGAAAAAAAGAATGATAAATTCCTTAAACAGATTCTCTACCTCAATGTGACACGTATCTTTTGCAGCTCAACTGAAAAAGAAGAAAAACTGTTAGATGGAAAAGTGTAGCAGTCTAACAAAAAAAGGCTGAAATAACCAGGTTGAGTAGCTGTGCAGAATGTTCAACTACTTTTAGATTTTCAGCCTTCTGTAGTTTGTATATGGGATTCTATTTAATTATTTAGATTTAACTGGAACAAAGTTTAGCTGATCTAGTTTAGGATCCTCTCCATAATTGAAAACTGACACTGGTCAGCAAAGCACAGAAGAAGCTGGCAGCAATGCTGACACAGCTGTAAGAATTGTTTGTAAGTACAGGTCATCCTCTGCATGTCAAAATTAACTTCTGTAAGTCTTCTGTTAAGTTTCTTTACTGATTAATTGGGCAACAATTATATATATATATATATTGAATTTATATGAGTGAGTTTTTCTTCCATATCATATCCCAAAACAGATTTTGTTCTTTATCAGGTGGTATACAAACAATAGTTGTCACATAAAATCATATTTTAATTTTTACATATCAAAAGCTGACTTTTAAACAGCGGTGTGTACACTTTTTAGTTCCCCCATATCTTTCCAACAATCTTTCTCTTTCTTTCTTTCTTTCTTTCTTTCTTTCTTTCTTTCTTTCTTTCTTTCTTTCTTTCTTTCTTTCTTTCTTTCTTTCTTTCTTTCTTTCTTTCTTTCTTTCTTTCTTTCTTTCTTTCTTTCAGAAATTGAATCTGCTATTCCTTGTACTAAAATCGTGTATCTGCAATATAAAAACATCAACATCATTTTTTCTGAACTCTGAGGAGCTTTCATCTGTACAAGCTTGAACAGTTTTTTTCTTTTATAACAACTCAAAGCTTTATTTTTGTTGTTCTTTTTCATTTTGAGTTCCTCAAAGATTTGGCCTTTGCCTCTACAGACGGAAACATCACGCAGTATTAGACATGCTGAGACAAATCTGTTTCATCTCCAGTATCCTACAATGGATTAGAAAAATAGATAACAATAATACCCCTCTGCAGCAAAAAAATAACAACAAAAAAACCCATTAGGCCAAACATTAATATATTTTTTTATCCTTTCTAAGCCTGTGATGATTTGGCTAGATCTGCATCTGACAACAGCTCATATTTCTGATTGTTTTTATTTTTTCTTATCATGATCATAATTTTCTTCATGCCTAAATTTGTCTGATGAAGCATGTCTAAACCTTATCTTGTTTTTTTTTTCTATAAAGTTACAGTCACAGTTTAAAAAATGATCAAAAGAAACTTAATAAGTGCAACATTCTCTTATCTACATCATCACCGCCCCACCTATACACGGGAACACTCGATAAAAATAAAAAGATCAGACGGATGAAGTGAAGAGGATGGAGGAATGAGGGAAAAGGGAAATCTCTTTATTGTTGAGCCTTCAGGCATCAACACACTCAGGCATCGGAGTGTTTCGGGAAGACACGAAACACTAAAACATACGAACCGTCCTCTGAAAGGAAAGGTCTTTGCACAAATGACCAAATCCAAACCAATGGACAGGTTTATCAGTTATATTCTCTGTTTGGTTGAAATACAAGTGTACAAGTATACCTTCTAGTTAAACAGGAGGAAAATCTGACACAGTTCCTAAAATATAGTTTTTTTCTCTCTTCTTAAACTGATGGAGAAACAATACGCAGTGAATAATCTGTAGGTTGTTAGTATGATGAATTATCTGCCAGGGGGAGGATCACCGAGAAACGTGCAATTTAACCAAACATACAATTATTTCATGTTCTTTTTTTCTGGTATTTTGTTTTTCCAAAAATTTATGACAAATATTCATCATTTTCATCTTCGTCGTCATCTTCATCATCCTCGTCGTCCATACCTGCCTGGTCATTTAAGACGAATGAATCTTCGTCGTCTGTGGTGAAGAGTGAGTCACCGCTGCCGATGTCCCCTGAAGACTCCAGAATTACTCCTAAAACAAAACCAGGAATCAAAGACTTACTTAAAAGATTAAAATGACATAACATGAGGCGGATTCATGACTCATTACTTTTGTATCTTGAAGCTGGAAATTGGCTAAAAGATTTTTTACAAATGATCTAAATGCAATTTATAGTAGCAGAAAGTGATGCTGGTGGTGATACAAATATCATATCCAATTCAATTCAATTCAACACATCTCATCTGAAGGCACTTTACAGTTCACCAGATCATACAGTCATACTGATTCAAAGTTTTCTATCTAAGGAAAACCAGTCGATTGCATCGACTCATTGACTCGAATGCAATCCCTCACACTAAGCATGCTTGTAGCGACAGTAGAAAGGAAAAAATGCTTTTTAACAGGAAGAAACTTCCAGCAGAAACAAGCTCAGTGTGAGCGGCCATCTGCCGAGGCCAACTGGGGTTCAAGGGAGCATTCAGAACCAGAACCTCCTTCTCTCTGGGTCTGTTAAGAACCAGAACATCTTCCTCTCTTGGTCCATTCAGAACCACCTCCTCATCTCTGGGTCCATTCAGAAACGGAACCTTTTCCTCTTCAGGACTGTTTAGAACCAGAATCTCCTTCTTTCTGGGTCGATTCAGAACCACTGCCTCCTCTCTGGGTCAATTCAGAACCAGAACCTCCTCCTTTCTCGGTCCAATCAGAACCAGAATCTCCTCATTTCTGGATCCATTCAGAACCAGAATATCCTTCTTGTTAATTGACTTCTCTAAATTCTCCTTAGTTGTCAGTTTGTGTGTGAATGGTTGTTTGTCCTGTTTATCTCTGTGTTGCCCTACGATGGACTGGTAACCTGTCCATGGTGTACCCCGCCTCTCTCCTATAGACAGCTGGAGAAAGGCACTAGCACCCCTTGCGAACCCGCCTGGGATAAGAGTAATGGAAAATGGATGGATGGAATTGAATAGTGGCTCCCCTCTCTAATGAATGAGGGGCAGACAGTCTTCTGATTTCCTGGTTTTACTATACTTGGTACAACTGGATCCAAGTAAAATAAAAAAAACTGAAAATAGTAACAGTTCCACACAACCTTTACTGATGGAAAGCCTATAATGTGAATCTACCCCTCCCAAATTGCGAGTCAGTAAAGTCAGTAGAATGGAAATATAAGTTCTTGGTGAGAATTTTCTTTATATACTAAAATATTTAGATTGACAAGCGGGAACATGTAACTATATAAATTAAGCAGTTTATATACTTATTGATTATTTAAGTAATGTTTATCGTGCTTGGAAATAAATGAACATAAAAATGCACAAATGATTATTGTTGTAAAGCAGCATGGTAAAGAAAAGTATGAATCAATACCGTTCGTGTCCATCTTGGAGAATGTAAAGTTGAATACATTTAAGCTAAAATAGGGGTATACGTGTTTTTTAAATACAATTACAAAAATAATATTCCTTTTACCTTTTTTTTCCAAACAGAAAAACATTCCTTGTGTGATAGAAATACATTTAAATGGATGTCTGCCAGGAAGGTGAAAGATTTTGGGCTAAGCTTAGCCTTTCAAAACATAAAAAATATCAAAACATTCAATTCCTCCCTCAATTCAAATCATGCGCAATGTTTTATATGTCTTTCCACAACCTCAGAAACCCGATACTGTGTTTTCTGGTAATTTGCATACCACAGTCTGCAGGACCGTGGGTGCGGGAGCCTGCAGCCTCGTTGCCAAAGCGATCCACACACCAGCACTGACCACTGCTGCTGTGACACTGGTGCGGCCTGTAGTAACCCTCCTCATCACAGGAAGGTAAATACTGACCTAGAGATTCAAACAGAAAAACCTAATGAGCAGCAGAAATAGATTTCAGTCAATTTGTCCACCTGAGCATAACATACCAAGTAACTTCTTCCCAGCTTGCTTTTTGCTGATGCTGGAAAGCTCTGCTTTGCACGGCGAATCTGAAAGGAAGAGACAAAGACTTTGGTAACAAGCTGCAGTGCTCCCTTTTGTTTTGATAATAACTTCCCTCGTTCCGCTATCTCTGCTCTTGCAGTGGCAATGAGCAGCCATTTTTAGTTCTTTCATTTTGTTTTTCCAATAGACTGTCTAAAAAATAACTGCTAGATGAGGTTTCTTATATTTGAGAAGTTAAAAAGGGAAAAATATAGAAATATATGTTCAAGTTCTGAGTGTTGGTTTGTGCTTGTGTGTTTTAACTGAGAACACACTGACCACATTTTAGCTCTGAACATGTGTTGTTTTTTTTCTCCACCTGTATATCTCTGGAAGCCTGTGCACCACTCGGAGCTGGTTATGACTTTGTCGGGATGCGTATCACATGACTTGAAGAAAGCGTCGGAGCACGGCTCGTTCCTGTCCAGATAAAGGCTCTTGATTTCTGACTGGTCAAGCTGGAGGTCAAAGTTGGTGTCAAGTCTGGAGAACATCCACCCCAGAGGGTCCTTACAGATAGGTGATGCCCCGACATCAAACTCTGTCAGGAGGTTCAAAGATGTGCTTAGAAAAGGTTCATACGATAATGAATGTCATGACTAAATGTGTCGTGACTCACTGTTCTTCTCCGGTTTTTGGATCTTGACTCTCTTGTGGTTTCCGTTCTCGTGCAGCACTCTGAACCAGTCTCTTAGGCGACTCACCACCTCCTTCAGATCTGATTCACTGCAGGCTGTGAGGTGATATTGATTTCAACTTTAGTTTCATTCTGTGAGTCAGAACTGGAACAGCTGCCTATAAATTCATTAATCTTAGAAACACTTTATGTAACCTTATCTTTTAACAAAACATCTGTACCTTTTTTCTCAGCAGAACTCTGCTCAGGTAGAGAGGGACAAGGACACATGCCAGGACACTTGACGGTAATTTTTTTCCCCGTGATGCATGCCTGGTAGTCAAGTTTACACTGATTGGAGGGGAAAGAGAGACAGAGGCGCACCAGAATGTGTTAAAGGAAGTTAACAAATACTAACAGTTAGTTTCATTTAACTTGGCTTCATCTACGTTTGACAGCGACAATGCAAAAAAAAAACAGAATTACAAAACGAAGCAAGTCACTTAAATCCTGCAAATAAAGTTTATAATTAAAGCTCATTTTCAATTTCAATTCAATTCATTAATGTCCCTGCTTGGGCTTTTAGGTACAATAGAATTAACATACACCACTTCAAATGAAAAAAATGAAAATATATAAATCAAAATGTAGAACATACATTCACCTTTTTTGGAATTACTATGACCTGGATGACTGAGAATCTTCACCAGCAAGAATTTCATCATTTTTGTAAATCCATCTTAAAGCTGCAGCCTTTTGAGGTTACTTAGCAGGTAGATGGATAACTGCATCATCTACATAGGGCTGACAATGGACACAAAGAAAGGACTAAAAGACAAGGGGCCAAGTATAGAGCCTTGTGGGATGCCCATGTTAATGTTAATGAGAGTGGAGATATGTCTTGATCAACTTAAACACTCTGTGCTCTATGCTGGATAGACTGTGCCCTTATATGATAAATTTAAAATGTATTCTTTTTGTTAAATGCAAACTATGGTTAACTGTACTGAATGCCTTGTTAAGGTCAATAAGTACAACTCCTGCCACTTTCATTTTATAGTTTCAATTTGCTATTTCAGTTGAACAGCCTGGTCTAAACCCAAACTGCTGTGGGTGACCACTTATAAGCTTTCCAGCTTATAGGTGGTCAATCCGCTGTACCGTAACAACTTTTAATATTTTTTGATAAAACTGGTAAGATTGATATTGGGTGGTAATGGATAATTATAGATTTTTTTCCAAGCAGTCAGAAATGTGCACTTTTTTATGGAAAGATTAACAAGATGTGTCAATGGCTTGACCAGAACATCTTAATATGTTTTAAGAAAACAACCATTCATTCTAAAAATTTGATTAAATTTTGAATTTGAAAGTTTATTAATTATTTCTACAAAATTTTGTACCTGGCACTAGTGGCACTATTGGTTAAACTATTGCAATTTATGCTGGTGAAGTCATCCAGGTCATAGTCATTCAAAAAAAAAGAAAGTTAAAAACAATCCACTGGACTTTGTTTCCAAGTTTGAAGATGTTTTGCTTCCCATCCAGGAAGCTTTTTCAATAAAAAAAATTAAAAGCTTCCTGGACTATGTATTATTAGCAAACAATTATTTAGTTTTTAAGAATGTGTTCAAAATTAAGATTTAAAGATGCTCACTATTCAATCAGCTTGAGCAATTTCACAAAGAAGGACAAGTGAAATAACTCAGCTCTCCCTTTCTAAATGTCATAGACTTATATGTGCATAAATTGTAGAGCACAGATTTGCGGGGATGAGGATCACTAAACTGCTTCGAAGGAGGCTCAATTGCAACAAATAAGAGATACAAAATGCTTTCTTTGAGACCTAAACAGCAGCAATGCACAAAAAAAAAAACACCCAAAGAGTGTTGACACGTGAAGGTACCTTAGTGGAGTAGGTGTGGCCATCACTGCCACAAACAGGCGAGGGGTGAACCACAGGACACGGCTTGCACTTCGACCCGGCACTTGGGTGCAAATTGGCACCTTCAAAACTGGAGGTGACATCCAAAATAATGATGAAAAAAACAAAACAAAAAAAAACACATCTGAACAATCTCATATTGCACGCTGTCAGCATTGATCTGCAATGTAATGTGATGCTTTGGGCAACAATTGAAAGGTAAGAAAAAAAATTAAGATCTGTGTATGATTCCCATTTATTATTATTATTATGATGATGATTGGATTGCTCTCCAAATGTTGCTCCAAATTGTGTTTCCTGACAAGAATGGGAAATGAGGTCAGTGTGGTGTTACTGTCCTCTGTCCAGTCTGAGTTGCAACAGACTCAAACACAAACAAAGCCCATTCATATCACTTGGCATCACTTTATGTCCACTGAAAGTTAGTTCCAGCGCCTTGGTAACTGGACCAAGCTGTAATGTCACACAACAGTCACAAGAGCGCTTTGGCAAAAGGAAAACCAGCTGGATATCCCCAGCCCAGCCTAGAAAGAGATGAACGCTTTACTGACATGTTTGTTCCTTATAGGTTTAAATTTAGATTTGCAGCAAATGGTGAAAAGAAAAGGTCAGAAACTCAACTAACATGCACATTGGCTTGGTCATAAAACAAACATGATATAATAATATATAAATAATAAAAAACAAACAGTGTTGTGAAAAAGTCTCTGCCCCCCTTAAAGATTTATTTTTTTTACATTATGAAATATTTAAAATAATCCAAAAATATACAGTTTACACATTCCAAGCAAAAAACCTTAGTGGGAAAATTATTATTCTTTTTTTATTTATTTTTTATTTATTCAGGAAAAAATATCCTATCCAACTTTGCCCTATTTGTGCATTTAATTGGTAGTTGATTTTATGTAAGTAATCAGGGAAATGTATTTTTCTACAAATCAAGTCTGAAAACATCATCTATTTAGGATGGCATTTAATACATTTTACATCTATTTTTCAGTTCTTTATGTGTTTTATATTGTCGCCATTTTATTCCTTGTGTTTTTTATGATTTTATTTTATTTTATTTACTGTAAAGTATTTTGCTTAACTCAGGTTTATTGTAAAAAGCTGCACAAATAAATGTGTAATTACTATTAAACATGGTGGTGGTAGTTTAATGATTTTGAAAATGTGTTGTTATTTATTCAATCATATTTTCTGCCAAACTCTGTTGAACCAGTAAGGCCGGTAGTGCCACGGTCACATTTATCACAATCGAGGATCACAGTCTATGAGGAAAAAAACACAATAGTATCTGAAATGGCTTAATTTGTACCATGTGTCACGTGTGTGGTCAGGAGTTATGGTGGTGTTTTATGTGGTGCTGATGGGCCTGACCAGGCTCGGACTGGTAAGCTGTGATAACGGGCATCTGCACAGTGGGCCGCTCCTAATTCCAGCATGCGAGGGCCATCCCTCCGTAAATCATACCAGCTTCATCACTTACTCTCTGGCCGAAGTACCTACCTGAGACAGTAAATAACTCAAGGAACTCAAGTAGTAATACAATGTTAACTACTTAGATGATGCATGCAGTATATATAGCCCTTGCTGGTCATGCATATCCTTGTGACGGTTAGCATATGGTGTCATTTTCAATTTTTTGAAACTTTAAAATCCTTGCAACAAACTAAATTATAATAAAACTAAAATGCTTTCTATAAACAAACAATGTTCCTCTTATATTTGGTTAATTTATGTTTGAATATTTTGCAAAAATATGTTGCGGTGCATGATGTGGTTTTGCATCTGTTTACATTATTCCATTTCATTGCCCACATCCCACCTAGGCTAGCAGTGAATGCTTACACACCGCTGAGCTTTCATGTATTCATTCTTGAAGAACTGCCTGTCTGCCTCTATATTGTATTGTTTTTATGTTGGTCTTTTTACAACACTCGGACTTACGTTGTAGACCTAGTATGTGTAAGTGGGTGTCTGGCTGACTTTGTGCAAGTGTGGACGTTACGCAGCAACAGCCACTGTTGTGTCCGTGTTAATAACCAAAGCCAGTAAAACCGCATTATGGAAGGCTTGGTGATGGTTGTCGTTTGATGCTTGAAAATAGATTGGTTAATCCATTCCACACGCATTCGTATAGTGTGGGCCAGTGTAGAAAATCGTTCCCAGTACGAGCCTGGGCCTGATCACTTTCAAATGGTCCATGTTTTCTGCTCTCTACAAAAGAACCATGTGCAGCAGAAAGAAATAGCTAAAACAGAGCAAAGATCCTCTTCTGAGAAGGTCAAGAATCTGTACTGTCATTATGAGACCATCGTGACAATTCGTTTGGACACCTGTCTCAGAGTGTAACATGGAAACACAGACAGAAATTAAAACACAAACTAAATAAAAAATAAAAATCCTGCCAGGCACCTTTAAAGTATAGAATATAAACTTCCCAAGGACATAAAACAAAAAACATGAAAATATTACATATTAAGCATCCTTGAAATGAATAAAATAATATTTTTTTGAAAACTGAAACGTGTGTATGATAAATGTTTGTGTGTACCTGTGGACAGCTCTGAGATGGCCATTCTAAAGACTGAACCTATATCCAAATCAGATTCTGTCACATGACCTTAAATAGGGTGTGGTTGCAAACCTTACTATTATGAAAACATTAAGCAGTCTGGAGTGGATCACAACTCATCTCAGCAGCTAAAAAGATTTATTGTTGGTAATTACCAATTCTTGATGACAGTTCTTGCAGACAAATAGCAAAATAATTTTATTAACTTAGTGAGTGAAGACAAATACATTTACAATCTGTTTGGTTGGGATAGCTTTTTTTTTTACTTTATTAAATAAAATTATGATTTGAAAAAGCAGTTTTGCTATCTAATTATATTAGTCTGATATTTAAATGTATGTTTTTATTTTACTGATTTGTAACATTCAAATGTGACATAAAACAACAGAATAAATATTTAAGAGGGAAAATCATTAAACACTAAGAGATCATCAGAAACCTACACCGTTTGTGTCTTTGTGCTTACCTAACTCTCCTCTGGCTGACACAAGAGGCAGTCTTGTAATCCTCAGCCACACACACCTTGTGGCGACTGCATTTGATCTTCAGACAGGGGTCTTTGGCTGGATCGAGGGCTACAAACACAGAACAAAGACATATATTACCACAACACTGAACGGCACAATTATGCGTGCACGCTACAACAAAGTGGCACCTTAGAGTTTCCTAGACAGCAGCTAACAAAAGCCTGCAAGGGTAAACAGTGAAGAAAAGAAAGAAAATCCTCCATGGATACACTCCCTTTAGTTAATTCAAATTTGCATAAAGGCCTCTTGATTAAAATATGTGCTTTCTTTCATTTCTAAATGATGTAAGGGATCTGTTTGTGTTTATTTTCTGCTGTTGTTACTAGCTGTATCTGCTTCACTCAACTAAATACAGTAATACTGTTAAGTATACTTAAGGCTAAAAACAGATGGAACTAGTTTTAGAGTCTACTTCTGATCTGACATCACACAGGAGAGTCTGATCCGGTGCCCTTTGAACAGGTGACTGCATTAGTTAGGTATAGATATATATTTACATCTTATTTACTGGGGGGTGGGGGTGGGGTTAATGTCAGGAGATAGTTTCTGATCCCATGTCATCTTTAAGCAACACAACTAAGATCCCAAGCCACTGGCTGTTGTCCGAACAGTTTGCGAATGACCTCTACTAGAAAGAACCATACTGTAATCTCTGAGCAGCTTTGGCAGATTATCCTGCCTCCATCCTCCAATGCACTATCTAATGCTATTGTTTCCCTAACTGTGTGTGTGGGTGTGTGTGTATCTGTGTGCTTGAGGATACACTGATAAGTGAGAGGATATGTTGATGTCCTGGTGTGCCTAGATGAGCGCAGGAGATTACTACTGTCTGTAATACAAATAGAAATGAGATGATCAAAGAATAGAAAATCCTCCTGGTTTTAGCTGCTTGGTGTCATTAAACGAAAAGAGAAAAGTTTATAGAGGAAGGGACGTTCTGATTCGATCCCAGCTATCAGCTCAGGATGAATGTACACTACAAAAAATGCATATCTAAATTATTTTTTTCTTAAAATGGGTGAATTTTGTCTTGAATTGGTAAGGTAAGTGAGACACTTTGCCAATGGAACAAGACATTTTACGTTTAAAATTAGAAAAAAACTATTGCATTGTCTCACTTCAAGTGCATGTTATTTATTTATCTTATTTTAAGAGTAAAAATACTAATTCCATTGGCCAAACATCTTATTTACAGACTCAAATTAAGGGTAAGACATTTTTTACTTATTTCCAACCCGTTTTTTTCAGTGTAACCTCCAATATCTGTAAACGCTCTGTCACTTTATGTTGTTTCGTTTTGTTCTGCCTCCAAAACTTTAGGCAGCTAAATCCACAGATAAATGAAAAAAAAAAAAAAAACTTTTTACCGGTATATATATATATATTAATATTTGCTATTAAATCAGCAAATATGAGTTTTACCTAAAAACCTGATGTTTTTAACCCATAATAATGACATTCACAGTAAAAATGAGACTGTTTTAGCTGCTGCTTCCTTCGTAATATGCTTGTAAAAATGGGGATGGGATTTAAGAGTACAACAAACTTTGACTAACTCTTTTTATGACGTGTCTCTATCCTTTACTGTATAATCTTTGTTTAACAAAGATGACATTTCTTTAAAATCCTGCAAATTAAACAACACCTATGATCCGAATCATTTTAGTAAAAACTAAGAATGGATAGAAGTAGGTGAGCTTATCTGAAAGCATATTCTTTATTTCATTTTTTTTTTTTTTTTAACTCAGCTAAAACCCTCCAGGCTCTGCTCTATCTCGTTTCCACCCACCTTGATCGAAGGGCTTGGATGGAGTCCATGTTCCAGGCTCCTAAAACACAGTTAATCAATAAACATATTCAGCAAAAAGAAGTTTGAAATGTATTCCAAGAAAGTATTACTGTACACTACAAACACAAAAATATATTTCAATACCATAAATAATAATAATAATAATAATAAGAAGAAGAAGAAGAATAAGAATAATAATAATAATACAAACCTCAACTTCCTTTGATAGAAAGCATTACAAAGACAGAGAAGCAGGAATTAATTTTAAAACACAAATGTTCTATCTGACTATGTAGGAATCAAAATGCTTGTGTAATAATTTTACTGACAAAAAGAGCTAGTTTCCAACATTCAAGTCTTCAGTCTTTGGCTGTTTTATATTAACATCTAAGATTATAAAGGATGAGACAATGTCATTGGATATTACTGCCAATGACCTTTGGGGGAGATAATGACCTCATCTGTTATATCATTAATCAACTGGGGAAAACTAATTCAAGTTATTAATGTAAGTAGTGAGCTCTGTGACATACCCAGGCTTTGGGGATGTATGAAAATGTGTCTCATCATAGAAAACGTGGTTCTATACACAAAGACGAAAGCTGTACTAAGAAAAGGTTTTGATCAGGGACCCTGAGCAGAGATGGGTTGAGTAGAACATTTCCTTTAGTCCTTTCTGCCCCTGAAACAAACCTCGCTATATTCTAGCATTAACTCTCAAACATTGATTGCCTTATTTTCTCTTTGATATTAAAATTAGGACATGCAGTACAATAAATAATACACCGCAGCCATCACTGCACTGCTGCTTACATCGAAATCAATACACAGCTAAATACAAACAGATGGAACAACAACATCTTACAGGCTGCAACTGACAACAGATTCTCATTACTCTCTGAGGGGAAGGTGTAGATATTTTTCTAACAGAAAGCTAAACTGGGGCTCACAAGTAGGAGAAGTGAAAGTATGGTGCGAGCTGCCCTGCTGGCAGGTGCACTGGATTTATTTTGCCTTGTTTTATTTGTAGCTTGGTGCTCCTGTGGGTTTCAGAGTTTCTGTGTCAGATACTTCCGCTGATAAACTTGTTGTTAGGCTTCTTTCTGAACACTTCATCCTCTCCCAGCAGCAGTCTGCGATAGAGCAGATATAAACCGGGGGATGTCTCAGGAGTCATCCGGTGTTTCACTAGATGTTGTTTGTACCCTTACCCGGTACAGCCATACATTATGTTAGGTTATAGGTTTGTTTAGTGTCCAGTCCAAAAGGCTGACCTTGCACACTGCAAACATAAAAAGCTGGAAAGCAGATTGAAATCTGGAGTGATTGGCTGGAGGCAACTTTTTGGGTCCTTTAGAAACAGCACTCTGTGGTTAAAAGCCTTAAACAAAGAGAGGGATAAGAACAGAGCCAGCACAGCTTTGACTTTCACAAGATAGAGACCTAAGATCCCACTGATATATGGTCAAATTCAGAGGTTATTAGCATTGTTCTTTAAAAAAAAAACCCCAGTAGATTTCTAAAGTGAAAACAATGATTTCAAATTGCTAGACTTTTGTGAACTAAAAAAATAGATAACATTCAATTAAGCCTTCTTGACTTGATACTACACATCAATTAAAGGGAATTGGATAAACCTGAAATACAATTAGCCATTTTAGTCATATTCCCAGGGCATATGTTCATTTACATCTCTCAGCTTAAGCCAGAGATGTCAGAAAGGCTGCAAAGGATAAGAACTGTCACTGTATAAAGATACATTCCATTGCATGTGTATGTATAAAATGGGCCCTGCAAGGTCAAAGTAAAACTCCTCATCTCACATGAAAAAAAAAAAAAAAAAATAAGAAGAGTCCTCTAGTCAAATGTTTTCTTTGAGAATCTGCACTGCTTTAGGATTTTTTATTAGGTGAAACATATGTATAACTAGATACTTCCCAGAAATTTGCCCTGAGGTGGTGACACCGTTTAGTAAACTGTGAATTTAACCTCAAAGTCTAAATGTGGAACGTGAAGGTTTGCTGGCTTTTAAATAAAGGGATGAACCAAAGAGAAGCCCAGCAGGTGCAGGCTTATGATTCAAATGTAAAAGGAGATTACCAAAGAGTGAGCTTTGAGTTGTTTAGCCCAGTGAGTTCAGATGACTCACTATCAGGACATCCTCTCTCTCTTTAGCTGCCTGCGTTGTGTGTCCTCTGCCACATGGCTACGCTTTTCTTGTTCTCCTCACCGCTCAGCTTTTTTCTGTGTTCATCATTCAAAATCAGTTACATTCATAGTTGCTTACCCAGTTTTCTTTAGGAAGATCTGTGCACCTAGCGTTCATTGTAGCTCTCAGCTTTATTTTGTAGAAATAAGTGATTAAAGAAAGCATAACGTTTCAATTCCAAACACAGCAATTCTTTTCTCACATTGGATGCTGTCTTTGCTACTTATTAGGGCTGAATGATTTTGCCAAAAATAAAAATTGGGATATTTTAAATGAATATTGCAATTTCGATTTTTTTCTTGGCACTAGCTACAAGCATGTAAATGTTTCACTCCAAGGTTTCAGTCTTTTTATGAAATCTTAATTGTTCATAGTCTATTGTTGCATGAAGTTATTGATAAATTTATGGACTTTATTGATCTCACAGTAGAGAAATGTACTTGTTGCATAAGCTCAAATGGTCAAAAAAAGAAGAAGAAGGTGCCAAAAGAAGAAAAATATGAATGACATATAAAAAGTATATACAGTGCGTCCACATATGACACCTTTTTTTTATAGCAGGATTATTACACAGGGTTATTGCACAGGGTGTTTACATGGGTATTTATATAGATGGATATTTATATACAGTTATTGCACTGAGTGTCAAATGTAAAGAAACAGATTATTGCGAAGGTCTTAAATAGTAATTGCACATTATAATTTGCACGTTATTGCCATTGTAGTGTCACATTGTATAATCTTGTGGCAGCAGGGATGGATGACCTGCGGTAGGGCTCCTTTTTACAAACAGGGTTTTAAAAGTCTTTCTTACTGTTACCTTTTGTAAAAAAGTGCTAAATTCTCCTTGCATTGACAAATCTGCATGCTAGTTGGAACTCTCTCTTCCCGTATGCATTTTGCAAACCAACTTTAAGCATATTACTTAATTTTGTTGGGCTGGAGTGAGTTGTAAAATGTAATGTGAAAATTGAGTGACTCTGACATTTAAAAAAAAATTGTAATTTTTCATATTGTGATTATATTACAAATGCAATTAATTGCCAAGTCCTACTACTTATATAAATAAGTGACAGCCACTCGCATCAGGGGGCTAGAAATGTATCTTAAATGTTGTTTGTGATGGAAATCTCACTCAGCTAAGATTAATATTGGTAGACTGAAATTTGAAAAACTTGACTCCAAAAACTGCCTAGTAGATTGGCTAAAGTTATCTATATAATCTAAGTTACAGCATGTAATGAGCTCGCTTTGTAATTTTTGACTACTTACTTAGACAAGTGATTCCCAACCAGGGTGCATGTACCCCTAGTGGTCTGTGAGTGCACTGCAGGGGGTACATGAAAATATTTTATTTCTTAGATAGTAAAATAAAATGAGGCTATTGTTTTTTGAGGACCCAATTTAAAAATTAAACAAGCTTTCATCAACCAAAACGTAAGCTACTAACTTCAAGGCAAAATATTTAAGTTTATTTGACATGGAAAATTTAATCAAATTAAAAGATTAGGTAAAACAGTCTTTATTTCAGTTATGGTACGTTCAACTTTTGGAAAATCATCAATACTTTTGACTGAGAGGGGAACCCATGGTAAGACAAAATTCCAAAGGTTTACTCAACTCAAAACAGGTTGGGAGACACTGTTTTAGACCATTATTTTATCAGTGTCTCCCTAATGAGCAGGAGCTTAGCAGTGAAAAACTGTATTTCTTCTTTCATTCCCACATGGTTGATCTATCGAACCCTCCATCCATCACATTATTTCCCCTGCTTGCTGTCCACCTATGTAATAAAAACACAAAGAAAATGTTGGTTCTATCGTAGTTGTGCACAGTGAGACAGAATAATTAGAATATTGCATTACAGAGGCCAGACCCTCCTCAGCTGTGAATGCATCAAAAAGACAAGGGAAGTGCTTGCGGTCTGATTCCCTAATGGTATTAGTGGACACATCGCAACAGAACAGCGCAAACACAAGGGCATAACAGAACAAACAAATCTGCACAAAGACACTTATATATGGTTCCATAAACAAACCACAGCAACCAATCAAAGTGCAGGAATCTGACAGAATTAGTAGAACATTAAATACAAGAGAAAGCAAATTCAATAATGATCTTGCTCTTGGAGTTTCTTATACTGAGATCTGTTGTGAAAGACTCATAAAACATAATCTTACAGATCAGCAGACGAGATATTTTACACATAGACATCTGAAAAGTGTAATTTGGATCTAAATTCAACTACCAGGAAACAATCGGGTAAGTCAGCATCCAACTGTAATTATTGATGAAAGTCTTCAATTAGCTTTATGCATCCAGACAATTCAATTTTAACCTAATGTTCTTTGTTAAACTGGTTGAATTGGGAGCATCTATGAGAATCTATGTTTAACATCATATATCCACAATAATTCTAAAACTATGAGACAGACCATTACGTTTCACTTTATGCTTTCACATACAAGGCAATCAGCCAATCGCAGGCCATGTGAGCATTAGGATCATTAAGCCAGGATTACAAAAGAGGCGTGTCTTACAACTCTCCTTATCCTGTAGAGAATTTCCCCTCTGGGATTTCCCCAGAGCTTATTTAGTGCTATAAATACAAAGTTGTAAAGTACTAACTTAAACATGTTTCGGTACTTTCATGAGATTCTGCCAATCACTATTTTAAAATCAGAAATAGACTAAAGGGTAATAGGATTCCCCCCTATGATCAGATCCCAAACTGTCTGCTTTTTAGTACATCTCACTCACACAGGTCATTGTGGTGATGGGTTATTTCTATATTCCGTGGTGGAGTAGTGGTATAATGTTGGGGGATTAACCTTAGTTCCCAACAGTCTTTATCCAAACCTTTCCATTTGTGAGGCTTTATAATCATTGGTAGATCACAGAGCAAAATATATCTAAAATAGGTTGTAGCTTCTGTTTTTGCCTTGAATTAAGAGAAAACTGTCATGATGTTGTTGTGGATGACTGGTTTAATTACTTATGTCATTCACCTG